CTCCAGCAAACTGAATCTTCACATCGGTGTCTTTCCCAGACTCACTACTCTTACTCTTGATATATTTAACCATCAGCTGTTCATAGATTTGTACAATATTCACTAGTTTAAAAGAATTAAAGAGTGATTCGAGAGAGCTACGTAAGTCATGCACCTTGTTCTATTACCTCATATTCTATGACCAGCCCCCAAAGTCCTCCTTCTCATAGTCTTCCTTTACTAACCAACTCCTATGCATCCTTCAAAACCCATAGCAATTAAGCCTGCCTCAAACCTATGCACCTCGTTGTTTTGTTTTGTTTTAAATGAGGTCTTTTAGTCAGCTCCCATCCTGTACTTCGGGGAACTTGGTTCATACATCTTTTAATATAAGCACTTATCCTCTCAGGACACGTCTCAGGGTTTATAGATGGACCTTGTCTTGGCAAGGAGAAGCCATGGGAAGGATTGCTTGTATCAGACCGGGTGGCACTTACGTCAGAGTCTGTACATTACAGGTCGGATTCCTCAGTTTGAGGCATAGTGTCTTCATGGCCCATTCATTCAGGACACTGTTGCCCAGGTCCAGCTGCTTCAGGTTCTGGTGGGTGCCGAGGACACAGCAGAAGTTCTCCCACCACTCCAGGATGAAGGGCTTGTACTGTGCCCTGTGTCGGTGAGGGGGAGAAAAAAAGGCAGGGGATTGAACAGGTGGATTTGAACACGAGTGACTAAGGCCACAGTAAGGCCACAGGAGGGAGACCAGACTGTCAGGTGGCCCAGGACAGCTGAGAAAATAAAGCCAGCTCAGTGGATGCTGCTTCCTGCTCTACAGGACCAGCCCCACGTTCAGCCTCCCTCCATACCCCAACAGCCCCTGGGGAGTAGGCTAGAATGATCAGGAGCCTTCAGCCCTCCCAGACACACGTTGACTTAAAGTCTAGCACCCGCTAGTGGCAAAATGATGCAGCTGTGTTGTTATGCTGTTAAAAAATTAATTTTTATGTGTATGGATGTCTTCGGGCATGCGTGTGTGAGTGTGCATGTGTGTCTACGTGTGGGTATGTACATATGTGTGCCTGTGCCCACAGAGGCCAGAAGAGGGCATCAAATCTTCCTGGAGCTGGAGTTATAGACAATGTAATGTTAGGAACCAAATCCAGGTTCTCTGGAAGAGCAGCAAGAGCTCTTTAACTGCTGAGCCATCTCTCCAGCCTGGATTTCTCTCTCTCTCTCTTTTTTTTTTTTTTTTTTTAGCTCTGAAGATCATGTGATCTTTCCTTCTCCATCTTGGATTAGAGATCTCCACATCCAGTAAGCTAAGGCAATTAACAGAACAATAAAGGAACAGCTAGGTATATGACAATGGAATTATTGATAATCCTTACTAGGTTACAGGACCCTTGGCCTGGGGGTTCTAGCTCTTTCTTTTCCTCCTTCTGCTACAAGTGATCTTGGGGGATGCCAGAATATATGTGGAAGTAAATGGTTAACTGAAGACATGACTCCACAATACAGCTTTCCAGGAGGCCGTTATCTATATAAGAGGTGAGACCCTCCTGTGATGCAGTCATTTTGGGGGTCACCCATGTTTCTGTAAGCAACCCTATAAACTTGCCATTTCACCAAACTGACTTTGATAGAATGATTACTCTAATATTTTTGTTGGTTTCCTAATTGGGGTGAGTTTTTTTTTTTAAAGATTTACTTATTATGTATACAAGTGTCTTGTCTGCATGTATGCCTGTAGGCCAGAAGAGGGCACCAGATCTCATTACGGATGGTTGTGAGCCACCATGTAGGTGCTGGGCATCAAACTAAGGACCTCTGCAAGAACAGCCAGTGCTCTGAACCTCTCTGAGCCATCTCTCCAACTCCAAGTAGAGATTGCATTTCTCCAGGGAGATTTAACAAGCTACTATGGAAAAACAACACACAAGGACCTCCAGAATTGAGACGGAAGTACGTGATACAGCAGTCCCACCTTTGAGTATTGTTAGAACATGGGCCTGCCCCTTTAAGACATTCTTAGGAAGTCCAGATCTTACAGATCTCGAGAGACCAGATGCTCCTTCCTGTGCACACATCTCTGGGGGGAAGCTAAGGAGCAGCCTGAGCTGTGACTTGCCAGCTCTCAACTTACGGCACCTGGCTCCTTCATGCTTGGTGCCATGTGTCCGTGGTATACGTGCAATAAGCTGAATGTGGAAATACATGTAAAGAGGGCCAGTCGCTGATGTGGTGTTCATGACCACTGTGCTGTCCACTTTCCTCTCGTGTTACAGGTGCTTGTGGGTAACAACAGGACAAAAGGATCATCAAAACGGAAAGGCAAATGGTGAATGGTTGCACGCATGTGTGCGGGCTCAGAGAAAGGTCAAATCCTAGCTGCTGAGATGGCTGAGTGGGTAAAGGCACTTGCCACACATGCCTGGAGACTTGAGTTCAAACCCCGAGAGCCTTGTAGTGGAAGGAGAGGATCCATTACTGCTCATTGTCTTCCTCTGAGCTCCACACGTGTGTCATGATGTGCATACATGTGCGCGCGCGCGCGCACACACACACACACACACACACACACACACACACACACACACTCTAAAGGCAACTAAAGTTAAAAAAAAATCCCCAGAAGTAGAGAGTGGTGGAGTCACCAGAGACTGGGGGGAAGGGAAGGGAAGCTGGTCAAAGGTCACAGAATCTCAATGAAGAGGAGAACCAACTTAGAGATCATGCGCACATCATGATTTAATATATGATGATGATATTAATGCATTACAGATCTAAAACCTGCTAAAATGGTCCCAGAAAATCTTTACTATCCAATCTTCCTGCCTCTGTAACGATCTTACAGAGATGAAGGTACTTTATTTTTAAAAATACTCAATGTTTATTTTTATTTATATGTATTGTACATCATGTGCCTGTGTGTGACTATGTGCGCATAAATGCAGGTCCCTGCGGAGGCCAGAAGAGGCCACTGGAGCCTCTGGACCTGGAGCTGTAGGTTGTAGGCAGCTGTGAACCACCTCACCTGGGTGCTGGGAACTGAACCCTGGTCCTCTGGAAGTGCAGCAATAACCCCTGAGCCCTCTCTCCAGCCTAGATACTTTTCATCCATTAATCTGTCCATCAGCCTTTGGAAACAATGGACCCCAAGAAACTGCCAATCTCCCAGGAATCTCACACTGGGAGAAGGGAAAGGCTGGAGCCTGGCACCAGCCAGAGGGGTACTTGCCTCCCAGAAAGAAATTCCACACAGAGCAGCCCGCCTTGCTGGAGAGACTGGAGCAAGACTATGAGTCAATGGTGGGCAGGGATCACACCTTGATCAGAACTAGTTAGATGTACATGTCCTTGGACCTCTACCTCTCTATTTCAACCTCACTTCAGGATCCAGAAGATGAACTGTGGGGAGGGGGATCAATAGAGACCTATTGATCTTTGATTTTTTGTCCCTTTTTTCCAATGTGGCCCCACTGAACAAAAATCCTTTTCTCGGTATGTTATTAATTGGGCTGTTTTGATTGGCTTAGTAGTAGAACCTAGCTTGATACCTCTGTCTCCTGAGAGATGGGCTCGCAGTGTGTTCCATGTCCCACCCAGTCTATGCCGTGTTGGGGAGTGAACCCCGGGCTTCATTCCTGCTAGGCGAGCAGTCTTCCGAGATCTATCTACGGACCGATCTATATCCCCAGCATGGGACTCAAGGGTTTTAAAAGGGCTTATCTAGTAGCTAATGACAAATCAGACTTGGATCAGGTCCTGTTAATAAGTGAATTGTTCTTTAAGAGCCGTCTGGTACCCTGACTATTACTGAACGTCATATCTAAGCCCAATAACACAAAATTTACTGATTGGCTTAGGATGAAAACCACCCGCTACTCACCCCGGGGGAACAAAAGGGCACAGATCAGTATTCTTATTCACTGAGAAGATGTCTCTGATGTCCAGCCGCAGTGTCTTCAAGTTCTGACAGTGCTGGAGACAGTAGGAAGATACCATTAAGTCCATCCTCTGGTTAACCAGAAGATACACTTCTTGGAAGCTATTCAGAGCCCAGCGAACAAATTCATCATCCCGAGATTCGAAGAGATAGTGGAAGGCATCCAGGACATCCGTCGGGCTGGTGGCGCTGACCTGCTGACCTAGCACAAAGACCCAATCTTGGAGTTTCTGCCTCACAGAGGGGAGCACGGAACATCCAAGCAGAACCTCTATGGTTATCATTGTGTCTTTGTTCATGAGGCCGAATAAGAAACGCTTCATCCCAAGGAGGTGAGTGTTGAAGTCAGTCTGCCTGAGGCTCCTCGGGTTTTTAAAGACAAAGGAGTGCTGATCCCATTTCTCCAGCCCTTCTAAAACATAATACAAGGCAGCACAGAATTCCTGCAGGCTGAGGTGGAAGAAAACATAGTACCACTCGGTGCTGTGGTCAACCCGGAGAAGGATGTTCATGTGAAAGAGGGCCAAGATCTCAGACTCCCTCACGCCATGGGTCTGCAGGTCAGTCGCATAGAACACGGACCTCATGTTCCACACTCCCTCTGCTGCCATCCTGCATAAGCTTATCAGGGCAACACGCTCTTCTGGATTGAGACAGCTCCGGGAAGGATCTCTGGGCGTGAGCTGGTAAAACACCAAGGTGGCATACAAACTGGTGAAAGTCTGGCAGACTGGGGGGCCTTTCTCTCCCAGCTTCTCCTGGAGCTGCAGAGCTTCACAGACCAGTGAGCATATGGGGGGGACTTGACATTGATCAAACAGCTGGTGATTATCTATCACGGAATGGACGACTTGATGTCTTTTATGGTTGTTAGAGATGTTCTCAAGGACCAGCTCAGCCCTCCTGGTTGCAGACAGTCCTTCCACCAATATGTAGAGAGGAGACACCACTATTGACTTGAGCCTTTCCAAGCCCGTGTCTCTGGTGGTGATCACGAGAAAGGACTCGGGTAGGAGAGCCTTCATCAGGAGGCTGTACAGCAGGATGTATATGGGCTGTTCATCCTCCCAGTCTTCAGAGAGCCTCATGTCCTCAAGTAGGAGGGCAGAACCCAGATCGTCAAAACCATCCATGACAAACAAGAGTCTTTCCGGTTTGGACATGATCTCTGTCATCGGAGCCCGGGAGTCTGGCCACTCCCTGGAAATCAACTGTGCCATACTGCTCTTCTCTCTCCATTTTATTTCTCTAACAGAGAAGAAGAAGGCATAGGACACATCTTGGTAGAGTTTACCCTGTGCCCAGCCCAGAACGATACTTCTGGCCAAAGCCGACTTTCCAACTCCTTGTCTTCCGTGTAGGATAACAGTGTGAGGCGAGAAGATTTTCTGGTGTGGCTTAAGGGCCTCCAACAACACTCGCATCTCTGGGCTGTCACAGTGTATAACCACATGTGTGTTGAATTTAGTTATTACATGGGTCTTATAGCCTTGTATGTCACCTAGATGGTATGAAGTCAAATGAGAGACAGCTGAAGAAAACATTTGAACAAAATCTTATTTTTAAGATTATGAGACCGACATGCATATCTGCAAGATGAGTCTAATTAACAATGGCTTAAAACATTTCAAAATAGAGGGGAGGAATCTGAATGGACTTTCAGTAATGATGGACATTTAAGGTGATGAATATGCTAATTGCCTTTAATTGTTCACTATTATATGTATAATGAATCAAATATGCCTCTCCCCCCCCCTCCTGCTATAAGTCAGATGGCTGTGTACAATGTTCTCGATACTTTATTACCTGTCTTGAGACAAGACCGTCATATTTGCTATGTAGCCAACACTGACTTTGAACTTCTGATCCTGCTGTCTCTATGACCCAACTGATGGGACTACAGGTGTGCACCATCAGGCCCCAGTTTTATGTGGTGCTAGGGACTGAAGCCCTATACATCCTATGCAAACACTCTGCCAACTTAATTACATCCATAGCCCAGCTTCTTCTGAGCAATGTATTTCTAACGAGATCCAAGTAGGCTGGGATCATCTTTGGCCAGTGAGCTCTAGAGATTTGCGTTTCTCTCCATCTCATCTTGCCACTGCTGTGATGACAAGCATATTGCTTTCACAACCATCTTTTTTTTCCCAAGACAGGGTCTGTCTGTGTAGCCATGGCTGTCCTGGACTCATTCTATAGACCAGGCTGGCCTCCAACTCAGAGATCTGCCTGACTCTGCCTCCTGAGTGCTGAGATTAAAGGCGTGAGCCACCACCGCCTGGCTTATACCCAACTTTTTTATGTGGGTTCTTGGGACCTGAACTCGAGTCCTTGTATATGCAAGGCAAGTACTTCATCTTGAGATCTTAATCTCTGTTTGCTGAATTGGACCAATGCAATATCCTCATATTAAACATTAGCTATGCTAATGAATTTAGGTTTCCCTGCAGAGCCAGAAGCCCCAGGGAGCCAGTCTGCAGTTGGATCCAAGACCTCCTCGCTGTTTTCAAATCTACAGATTTAATTATTACAATCATGCTCCAGACTGCTCTTTGATGCCTTCGTAGAAGTCTATGCGTATGGGTCTAACTTGCCGCCCACAGGTGACTCAGATCTCATGAGCATCAGAAACTCCTTTCAGCAGCGGAGTGCTTATGGAACTGATCTGAGTTCATAGTCTTCAGTGCCAGACACAGGTGCATACATATATACACATGCGTGCGTGCGTGTGCGTGCGTGTGCGCGCGCGCGCGCACACACACACACACACACACACACACACACACACACACACACACACAGAAATCTCCCAAACTAATTTTATCTATTACCTCCAAACAAAAGTGGCAGTCCCATTTCTTCAAGACATAACTAGGCAGAAGCTTGCATTTGCAAGCTTACTTTTGAGCAGAGGTTGATCTCATTCTGCAAGTCAGTGTAGCGTTCACTATCAATCATCCATGACTGTTTGCTCATGGGTAAAATGGAGACATTGATTCCTTTACCAAGGCTGCTGAGCAGAAACTGTGGCATTTATACCATGTACATCACAGTGCTTGGCTCATAGTGACCTTTCAATACAGTTCCTCATGCTTGGGTAAGCCCAACAATAAAACTATTTTCATGGCTACTCCATAACCATAATTTTGCTACTGTTATGAATGCTAACGTAAATATCTGGTATGCAGGCTATCTGATATGTGACCTCTGTGAAAGGGTCACTTGACCCCCAAGTGGGTCATGACCCACAGGCTGAGAACCACTGGTCTAGCGTCCTGACTCCGAGCATTGCCTCCCATCAGGCTGTTGAAGCAAAGCAGGATGCAGCTCCCGCACTCTTTTCTGAGCTGGTCAGACCCCCAGTTCTACCAGTCTTACAATGTAAACAGCTCACCCAAGTCCCATCACTGTTTTCAATCGTTGCCTCAGCGGACACCACGTGTTTGCAGCTGGCTTCTTAACCACTGACAAGAGCAAAAGAAAATCCCCACCAACAGGAGAATTGAAGAGGGCTGTTTGCTCATGAAATACATTTTATTTTAGATCTAGACATTTTCTGTGTATGAGTGTTTGGCCTGCATATATGTATATGTACCATGCCCATGTCTGGTGTCTGCAGAGGTCAGGGGAGGCCTCAGATTGCTGGTTACTGGAATTACAGATGGTTACAAGCTACCATGTGAGTGCTGGGAATTGAACCCTGGACCTCTACAAGAGCAGCCAGTGCTCTTTAACCACTGAACCATCTCTCTGGCTCCACAATGGAATATATTGACTTATTTAATGTTTTTGAGACAGGGTCCCCCTATGTTGTCTTGACTGGTCTGGGACTTACAGAGATCCACCTTTCTCTGCCTCCTGAGTGCTGGGATTGAAGATATGCCAAGCCTCACAATGGAATATTTTAAGTCAACACAAGGAATGAGAAAAAATTGTGACTCATATGTACAGTGGACTTTTACTCATTCAGTAAAATGGATGGAACAGGCAATTGCTATGTTAGGTGAAATGTACCAGACTCAGAAAGACAAACACCGCATATTTCTCCTTTTGTGTGTGTGTGTGTGTGTGTGTGTGTGAGTGTGTGTGTGTGTGTGTGTGTATGAGTGTGCATGTTCGTGTGCGTGTGATGAATCTGGAAAGAGACCTTGAGAAGGGAAGAAGAGATCTTCAGTGGTGGAGGAGAGAAGCATAAAAAGGGATATGAGAAGGTGGGCCACTGGGTGAAGAGGACCAGCAACAGGGTGTGGAGGGCAGACTAGATCAAAGTACATGAACGACGACACAGTGGGTCTGGAGATGTGCCTCAGTTGGCAGAGTGCTTGCCTAGCATGCACGAAGCCCTGGGTTCAATCCCCAGCACCACATAAACTGGATGTGGCTATATACACATGTGTAATTCCATCAGTCCACAGGTGGAGGCAGGAGAATCAGGAGTTCAAGATCATCCTCAACTACATCCAGAGTTTGAGCCAGCCTGGGTCCTGGGAGGCCCTGCCCCTCCCCGAGGGCCTATAGGCAGTCAATGGCGGCTGGGGCAATGGGATTGTCTTCAGTGGTGTATCCAGCGGTGAGGTACCCAGGCTTCTGTAGATAACCTCTCACCCAAGCTCCTGTAAGCCACCCTGATGAAACACATCAGGTGGCCAACAATCAAAGCAGAAGCGGGGCTAGGTGTATGAAAATATAGTCAAACCCACCACATATAATATATGATAATAAAACCACTGAAGTAAAAAAAATACACTGAAATCCATCACTTTGCATGCTCATTTAAAGCCTAATAAAATCTCTAATTTTGATCAGGGTAGGTGGTCACTCTCTTGCTGTGTTTAGAACAAGTCAAATAAGCTTGTGCCTCTGTCCCAGTCTGCTGGAATTAGGGGTTATTTTGAACTTTTCATAAATCACCACCCAACACAAATCGCCTTGAGCCACATGGCTCTGCCCGTGACGCTCACCCCCAGGACTCACAAGGAGGGTTCAGGTGGACACACCCGTGACACCAGGACCCCACCTCCCATCGGAATGTCACGTTCGGCTTTCACCCAGCCTCCTCATAGGTTGGCCACAAGTAAATATTTCCCTCACCTTGTTCATGTGCCTCTCCTGCTGCATCTTCTTCCTCAGCCTGCAAGGCTTCTGTAAAAGGGAGAGAACAAAGCCAGCCAACACGATTATGTTTGTTGTTTGAAACAGAGATACCCCCTGTGACAACTCCCCTCACCCCGGGCTCGGGGCACACAGAGGAAGAGGGGGCAGAAGGACTGTAAGAGCTGGAGGTGGGGAGGAGAGCTGCGAAATGTTCTGTACCTAGTACCGCTACTGCCCACACGAAGCCATGTGGCTGTGGTCGCCTGCACAGGGTGAGACACTTAAAATCCCGTCACAGTCCGGGAGGGGGCTGTGGAGGCTTCTACCACTAACTGAGAAGTATCAGCGTTGGGAGTCACGTTTGTCCGGAGGTGTCCTCTGGTGGGTGGTCGATGCTGTGCGCACCTGTGTGGGGGCGGGTCATGCGTACATTGAGTGCATGTATGTGGACCAGAGGTTGACTTTCGGTGTCTTTCTCAATCACCCTCAATCACCTTAAAGATGTATTTATTTTTATTTGATGGCTATTTGGCCTGTGTGTAGGTCTCTGTGTACCTTGTGTATGCTATGTCTGCTAAGGCTAGACGAGGGCAGTTGTGATCATGTGTATGTGTGGACTGAAAACTGGATCTGGGTCTTCTGGAAGAGTGGCCAGTGCTCTTAACTGCTGAGCCATCTCTCTGGTACCTAATCTTATCTCTATATGTCCAGACTGGCTGGCCAGCAAGGACCATGGATCCTGAGTCTGCCTCCTCATGCCGGGATTACAGGCACATACCCCTCCATCTGGCCTTTAATGCAGCTTCTGGGAATTGAACTCAGGTCCTTGGGCAGCCAACATTTTACTGACTGAGCAATTTAAGAGTCAAGACTCAACCTTTTTAATACAGCTAGCTATATACCCAAACACAGACCTACGCAATATAGTGCAACCCACATGAAGAGCCCAGCTGACCTCTGAGAAACTGTCAAAGTGATTTTAAAGTTTATGATCGAATCAACGAGACCAAGAAATGGCCCCAAAATTTTGCAGATAAATGTGGAGTGTCATATACCCTGAAAGAAACAACACTTAAAAGTCAGTGGGGGTAGAGGTATAAGGATAGGCACACAGGCCAGTCATCTAGAACTGAGAAACTCCAAATTACCCCCCCCCCACACACACCTTAATCTAGACAATTTAGTAGAATTGTGTGTGCACACGTGTGTGTGTTAATTGCAGGTTATGTGTGTACACGCTGATGTGGGTGCCAGAGGTCAACCTGAGCTTTCATTCCTCCTAAAATATTCCCCCCTTTAAAGAGAGTGTGTTTTTTTGTTTGTTTTGGTTTTTTGAAACAGGGTTTCTCCGTGTAGCTTTGTGCCTTTCTTGGAACTCACCTGGTAGCCCAGGCTGGCCTCGAACTCACAGAGATCCACCTGGCTCTGCCTCCCGAGTGCTGGGATTAAAGGCGTGGGCCACCACCACCCCGATAAAAAGAGGTTTTTAAATTTTTAATTACATGTCTGTGTGGGTATATGTGAGCACCTGTGCCTGCAGAGGACAGAGGTGTTGGATCTCTTGGAGCTGGAGTTACTGGTGGTTATGAGCCACCTGATGTGGGTGCTGGAAACCAAACTCCAACACTGCGCGCGTGTGTACACACACACACACACACACACACACACACACACATGAATTCAGGGATGTAGCTGGGTTGCGATGGTGCACACCTTTAAATGCTAGCACTCAGGAGGCAGAAATAGGCAGATCTCTGAGTTCAATGCCAACCTGGTCTACAGAGTGAGGTCCAGGACAGCCAGGGCTACAATAGAGAAACCCTGTCTCAAAAAACCAAACAAAAAATGAAAAAAACAACAAAAAGAATTCAGGGGTCTAACTCTTTAGGTAAAACTATATGCCACATGGCTTTAAGTGTACCCCTCTTTCCACCCCACCCTGCTTCCATACCTGGTGTCTGTTTCTCATCTGATCCTGGGTCATGCTGGATTGGTTCACTGTCTTCTTTTGGGTCACTCATTGAGCTTCCTGCAACAGAGAGGAAGAGAGAATGCTTCTCGTAAGGCATGGTCTAATTGCTGGGGATGAGAACACTTCTCGTCCAAACTGCAGAAGGGGATTAAAAGCAAGCCTCGGCTCAGTGTGTGCCCAGAGTGGTCTGTGATAGGACACAGTCCAGCCCTTCTGCCTCAGAAACACAGTAAAGCAGCTGAGATATACAGGCAAGGATGCCGCAGTCTGGACTTTAGACGTGCATTCTATACTAGTTCTGCTCAGTGGTTTTGGGTGGATATCTCAATGAGGTGCTGGGTCACAGTCATCCTCAGTGCCTTCAAATTTTTTTCAGACCTACGTCATGAGCTATTCACTTGATACTTGGTCTGATGATACTTGATAATCTGATTAGAGGTGTTTTCAACTTTGTGTGTGTTCATGCAGGTACACATGTTCATCAGCCATGGGTGCCTTTCCTCTGTAGACACCTGCCTGGTTTTGAAAAAAAAATGAATTTTATGTCTATGTGTGCATGCAGGTGCCTTTGGAGGCCAGCAGAGGATATTGGATTCTGTGGACCTGGAGTTACAGTTGGTTGGGAGGCACTTGATGTGGGTGTTTCAAGTGGAATGCTGGTCCTCTGCCAAGAGCAGCAGGTGCTGCTAACCACTGAGCCATTTCTCCACTCCCCACTGAGGTGGGCTGAATGAGAGTGGTCCCTGTAGGCTCACATACTTGGATGTTTGGCTCTGCAGTTTGAGAAGTGTGGCTTTGCTAGAGGAGGTGTGGCCTTGCTAGAGGAGGTGTGGCCTTGCTAGAGGAGGTGTGGCCTTGCTAGAGGAGGTGTGGCCTTGCTAGAGGAGGTGTGGCCTTGCTAGAGGAGGTGTGGCCTTGCTAGAGGAGGTGTGGCCTTGCTAGAGGAGCTTTCAGAAGCCCACCCAGGTCCCACTCTCTCTTCTGTATATCTGTGGACCAATAGCTCTCAGCTCCAGTTCACGTCTGCCTGCCTGTCTCCATGCTGCCAGCAATGATGATCATGGACTAACCCTCTGATACTGTAAACAAACCCCCACTTAAAGGCTTTCTTTTATAGTTTACCTTGGTCATAGTGTCTCTTTACAGCAATAGAAAAGTAACATGACACCCTCCCACCTTCTCCCCCCTCCCTCTCCTGCAGACAGGGTCTCTTCCAAATCTGGAGCTCACTTAAGCTAAGGATGACCTCGAACTACTGATCCTCTCACTGCGACCTTCTAAGTGCTAGGATTACAGGTGTGTGCCACTATGTCCTGTTTATCTAGTGCTGGGGACCGAATCCAGTTGGGGCTTTGTGCATGCTATGCGAGCATGCTGCCAATGGGCTATATCCCCAGCTCTCACTTTTGCATTTTAACTTAATCATTTTTTCATTCATTCATCATATAGTCTAAAAAATCCAATGCATGATCAAAAATTCCATTTTCTCTCTTTATATAAAGATACAGTGCATATATGCGTATGTGTAGCCATATATACATACAGATACATATATGCAAAATATTGATTCCTGTGTATACTCTAATATATATATTAAAAATAGTGCCTCATCATTAAAAGTCTAGCAAGCATCCATGAATGACCCAGATACTGTTTACCTGTCCATAAGTATATAAATGGTTATATTCTGTCTCCTGAAAGCTGCACTTCTGAGCCAGGAAGATCTCTCACTTGCCACCACAACTGATGACCCGAGTTCAGTGCCCTACACCCACATGGTGGGAGGAGAAAACTCAATTCAGGAGGTGGTCTTCTGACCTTCATAGGCATGCCTCAGTTTCCCCAGGCCTGAAATGTTCCCTCCCGAAGGGAAAAGGCAGCTAATGAGACTCAGGAGGCAAAGAAAATACCGCCTATCTGGGAAAACAGAACCCTGGAAGATTCTGGAAGGCCAGTCTCCAGCAGTATCCAAAGGAGTGTTAACTGCTGGGGGAGGAGAGCGCCACTGCAGAGAGAGGAGATTCTGGACTGCCCAGCTGCCTGCAAGCCGGGCGGAGAGCTCCAGGGTTGCCGCTTTTAGGAGTCTTCACTCATGCTACAACGGACTTTGCAGCGATGCGGCTGTTTACACATCACCCCTGGTCCTGTCACACCCACACTCTCATTAGTAACCCCAATAAAAATTCACTCATTCACCAAGTTGAACATTGATGCAATCATTACTTTGTCTTGTGGTAGGTTCCATTTCTGGTGAATAGATGTGTGTACAGCCGCCTCCCCAAGAAGTCTGTCCTGAGTTCAATACCCAGCAACCATATGGTGGCTCACAACCATCTGTAATGAGATCTGGTGCTCTCTTCTGGCCTGCAGCCATATATGCAGGCAGAACACTGTATACATAATAAATAAATAAATCTTTAAAAGTAAGTCTAGCCAGGTAGTGGTGGCACAATGCCTTTAGTCCCAGCACTCAGCAGGCAGAGGCAGGCAGAGATCTGTCAAGGCTGGTCTGGTCTTCATAGAGCATTCCAGACCAGCCAGGGCTATACAGAGAAACCCTGTCTCAAAAATAAAATACCATTTAGGACTTGTGCAATGACACATGGGTTCATTTAAGCCACGAGGAGGCTCTGCACCCTTGCAAAACACCCAGCTGTCAATCAGGAGAAAGAGGAACCCCAGTGTGTAGGAGGCTAGACACCTGGCACAGCCAAGCAGCGTGCCTCTGGGTGATGATCAACACCTGATAAGGGGCTTAGGGAAAATCAGATGGGCTGAGGGTAGAACTCTTACCATCCTCCTGTCGGTTGCTTTTTAAGGTACACACCGAAATGTAATCCCAATGTAACCATTGTTTTACTAAAAGCTAACAGAAATCAATGCATTTCACTAAGACGGTTTATCCATGCTCAGATGAGGGAGCCATCCCCCTAAAGCACTGATAATCATCCAACATCGAAGTTTATGTGTTCGTTAATCAGAACTGAATGCTCGCTGAAAGTGTAGCTCACATCTGTAATCTCAGGAGGCGGGGTGGGGGGGGCAGTTGGGGACGAGAGAGGGCGAGGGGGGGTAGTGAGGAGGGGGGCAGTGGGGAGCAGTGGAGGGGAGGGGGTGTTCTGAGTTTCACAGCAAGACCTTGACTCTTAAAAGCTAAAACAAACAGAAGAGATCAAACAAGGATTGGACAAATGAAAACCCAACAACCCCCTAGGAGGCTAGGATGAAGTAAGCTTTTCCTAGGCATCTCTCTCTGTAGGAAGAATGTTGGACTACAGGGTGGATACTAAGAGAAAAAATTAGCTGGGGGGTGGTGGCGCACGCCTTTAGTCTCAGCACTCTGGAGGCAGAGGCAGGCGGAGCTCCGAGTTCCAGGCCAGCCTGGCCTACAGAGAGACCCGTCTCAAAAAAAAAAAAAAAAAAAAAAAATTATGAGCATAATTTAAATGGTTATATTTCTAATAAAATTAGGATTTTCCTAGAGATTTTTTAAATATAGAGATCAAAAAAGCTAAACAGGAACAAACAAACATCTCTCCCAACCACTGGGTGAAACATTCAGTTTGTGAAGTCTAAACGTTATAGTCACACAACTTTAGTTAGATCGACATATAGATCTTGCTCTCAGCAATCCCTCTGAAGGGCTGAAGAAACACAGGAGACCCTTGGGTAAATATTTCAGCGGGTGGAAGGCCAGGTATTTTATTTTATTTTTTGGAATGATATGACCAGCAAAGTCTTCTCCTAGGAAGAGACTCTTTCCTGGCTTTTTTTTTGTTTGTTTTTTTGGAAAGAGTTTAATAGCACCTCATTTAATTTCACATAAACACATAAAAAAATAGAATTTTGTCCTTCATCCGGGGTTCAAAGCTTGATATTTTTGGAGGTCAAATACTTTGTGTCTTGAGCTTAAGTACTTTAGAACATTCCAGATTTCCTAATAGATCAGACTTTAAACACCAACCCCTCCTCCCCTCTCCAAGCCACAGTTGAGGGAAATAATTCAGCTGAGATACTTTTTGGGCAATCTGAGGGTACTGTTTTCTGTAGAGTGAAAAGACTTAAAAAAAAAATAAAATAAAAAAATCCAGCACTTTTCTTTAGCCTGTATCTCCACTATCATCCCCGCCTTCCCAGACACACCTGTTCATCCCCAAGTGTCTGGAATGATTTAATGGGAACACTGCAGGGCTGGGTGGGTAAGGACGCCACCTCGAAGCCCGAGAACACAAGTTAGACCCCCAGAACCCACGAAGAGAGAAGCAACTCTTGCATGCACCCTTGACCTCCACCTGGGTGCCGTGACGGGTGCATGCACACAGAAAATAATGCAGGCCTTCAACTCTCTTTGAAATTGGTCAATTTGCTCCTTGCTTCTGTAGGTAAATAAATGACCCCTTGACTCAGTCTCCTCACTTGGCAACTGCAACAAGCAATCCTCCAGTTCATATAGCATCTCACGGACCGTAAGTCACAGTAATTCATGAGCCACCCAATTTAACCCAGCAACACCCCACACTCACGCAAAACGTGGCCCTAACATCAGCTCACCCCCAGCCTTGCTCCATGCCTTAAGTTAACATCCAAGTCTGGGAAGGGACCTTCCTAAATGCACCCACTGTCCAGGTTAACTATTTTGAAAAACAAATTTGGGGTGACATTATCTTTTTTCCCCATGAGATCCTTTAGCCCCTTGGGTTTCCCGGTTCCAAAGACAGAAGAGGGGAGGGTTCGTGCATGTTAACTGGCCCGAAAGAGGAGAAGCCAATCCAGAGACCCGACTGGGACTAAGAAGTTACCCAAGAGCTCACCTTCAAGCACAGAACCTACTTTCCGCAAACTGGCAACTACCGCGAAAAGAGAGCCAACGCTGTCTGCACTCCACACCTGTGAGGAGACAGCCTTTGAGGAGTCTCAGGCTAGCACGTGCTTAACGCCCATTGGCTGCAAGTTCTGACTGGCCCTTCCCAAGGAGATCCGGAACAGCTGCGTGGGCAAGCATTGGCACCCATCCACCTCGCCCAGCAGCTGCTCAAGGGGAGGCACATCTACTCCCC